GCTGCACATGTATACTGGAGATTGTTGCTGCCTTGGATCTGAGGTCAGGAGGAAGGAAAGGATAAGGGATCAAATGGGAAGGTGTAGGACTTTTTATTTTTTATTTTGAGATAGGGTTTTGCTAACTTACTGAGGCTGGCCTCAAACTTGGCAATCCTCCTTCCTCAGCCTCCCGAATCACTGGGATTACAGGCATGTGCCATCATGCTCAGCCGCAGTCTTAGTGTAAAGCATCTCAACTATTATCCCCTTTTAGCTTTCTTTCTCTTTCTTGACCCTGACTCTAAAATTCTATTTCCTCCCAGTTTTCTTGGGGTATAATTCACAAATAGAAATTGTATGCCTTTAAAGTATACAACTTGGTGTTTTAATTAATCAGTTAATTTAGAGACAGGGCCTTGCTAAGTTCAAGGCTGGCTTTGAGCTCATGACCCTTCTGCCTTAGCCTCCCTGGTAGCATGTACCACCAGGACCAGTTTCAACTTGATGTTTTGACCAATAATCTTTGACCCCACCAGGACCTATAGTCTGTTAGTCCCACCCTCTCCCAATTCACCCTGGTAATTCATCACCAAGATGGCATTGCTCTTTAGGTAGCTGAATGTGGCTGGAGGACACACACACACACACACACACACACACACACACACACGGCTGACTCATGATGGTGCTCCGAGGGTTTTCTCCAATAAATAGCATCTCTTTTCTTCATCCAGGTTCTCAAAAAACTCTCATGAGAAAGAGCAGCGTCACTAGAAAAGGCGCTGTGGTTTGATGATGTCCCCCCAAGCTCATGTGTAGGAAACTTAATCCCCAGTACGACAGTGTTGGGAGTGAGGCCTAAGGAGAGGTGAGGTCTGCGCACTCTGCCCTCGTGACTGAGCTCATGCTATTATCACAGGAGAGGTTACTTAGCTCAAGCGTGGGCTGTTGTAAAGGTGAGGCCAGCAGGCTCGCTCTCTCTTGCTTTTGCCCTCTGCCTTCTGCTCTGGGATGATGGGGCAAGAAGGCCCTCCCCAGGTGCTAGCACCTTGACATTGGTCTTCCCAGCTCCCAGCACTATAAGAAATCTCTGTTCTGTGTCAACTACTTGGTCTCAGGCATTCTGTTATAGTTACACAAAAAGAGAGGAAGGTAGAGACCAGACACCAGAAGGGACCAGATCAGAAGCTAGGCTTCAGTCCCCACCCAAACCCAGGAGCCCCAGCAGTAGCAGCAGCACTGGAGCTGCTTAAAAGGGGGACTGAAGATTGATAAAGCTTCTCAGGAGATCCACTGTGCAGCCAAGGCTGAGAACCACTGCAGCAGATGTCCTGTCTACTTGAAGTACTCTGGTGATCTTCCATTTCATTCAGAGTTGGAGGCAAAGCTCTTTGAGATCCCATCTCTCCAACCCATCTCCAGCCACACTGGTCTCCTCCCTATACCTCAGTCCCTCTCCCTGGGCTTGTCCTTGGGGTCTTTCTGCTTGCTGTTCCTTCTGCTTAGAAAGGTTTCCTTGAGAGAGAGGAGAAATGCTGGGAAATGGTAATGACCGGATCACATTGTTGTACCATGTGTGCAAATAAACTCAACGACGAATTCCCCCATTATGTATGACCACAATGTACCAGTAACAAAGGTAGGGGCAAAAGAGAGAGAAAGTCTTTCCTTGCAAATGGCACATGGCTTGCTCCACCGCTTACTTCAGGTCTCAGTTCACATATTTCTCTATTAAGAGGCCTTTGGCAAATGTTCTACCTAAAGGAACACACACACACACACACACCCTCACCCCTCACTCTCTTACTCTGCTTTGTTCTTCTTCTGTGCATTGAATGAACATTGACTCTCACCCCCAGTAGCTTGCAACACACCCCGTAAAGGCAGAGGTTTGTTCCTAGACGTATTTCCAGTGCCCAAAACTGTTCTTGACACCCAGGAGGAGCCGTGACCACAGGGATGGATGAACGAATGGATGAACCTCTCCTGCGAAGAAGTCAACTCAGCCACGCGGTCTTCCTCCTGGTCTGTGAAACTCAACAAGTTCTCATCAGCCAAGATAAATCCAGCCAAAACTCCAGGCGTGACAGCGAACTTTCTAAAGAAAAAAAAAAAAAAAAAGACTGGTTAGGAAACCCTCTCTCCATTCTATTTCCTCCACTTCTGCAGGCCAAGTAGCTGAGCTAGCCTGGAGTGCTCCCAGGGGGAGGCGGCCTGCCCAAGGCTCTGACAGGCTCAGTGGGCAGTGAGCAGTGAGGGCAGCCCCTGCAGAGCTCCATCTATGCTGAGGGACACCAGGCGTCCCAGCCCACAGTCCACAGCAAAATCAACAAAGGGAGAGAGGAGATCAAGGACAGGATCCACAACCGGTCACCCTGTGTCTCTCGCACCATAAGAGAAGTTCTAAGTTTACAGTGAAGCTGAGAGAAAGGTACAGAGATTCTTTGATTCCCTGGCGCACCCCCTCCCATGCACACATATCTTCCCCTGTTATCCACATTCCTCCCTCAGAGTGGTACATCTGTCACAACTGATCTATATATTGCCACATCATTATCACCGAAGGTCAATAATCTAACCAAGTGTTCACTCTTGATAGTGTGCGTTCTGTGAGTCTGAACAAATGTATAATGAGATATTCCCACCATTACTCTTTCACTGCCCTAAAAATAATCCATTTATTTTTAAACAGATTTTCTTATAAGTAACATATTGGAGAAATTTAGGCAAGTTTTTAAAGTACAATGAAGTAATCATTGTACTTTAATAATCACACTACCCATATATAAGAACGGGTCAAATTTTTATGAGTTCCTTCACAGTATTTTTATGTGCTTTTAAAATTTAATTTTTCCCATATTTTTACTGGTGTATTATAGTTGTGCATACTGATGGGATTTGTTGTCACATATTCGTACTTGCATACAATATCACTATAATTCTTACGTGCTTTTTGACACTCACATAAACAATACTGCTGGGCTCCCTTTAACTGGCCAAATTTCTGATCATTTCCATGGGACACCACTTCAAAGTCTGCACCCAAAGACCTTGTGTAGCACAATGCCAAGTTGCTGTCCAAAGAGGTTACATTTATTTACATTCCCTCCCGCAGAGCATGACAGTACCTACCTGACCTGGCCTCACCTGATCTGGCCTCTCACCCCACCTCACCTCATCTTACCAGTGCTGACCGAAAATCACCAAGAAAACATTTTACTCTGACTACCTTAAATGTCCTAGAGGTGATAAAAAAAAAAAAAAGAAAAGAAAATCAGAAAATCAAGGGATAAAATTTGAGACTGAGAGGCCCTCTTAGCCTAAAATTGTGCTTCTCAAAACCTGCCTTGGTATTTTATAACCACTGCTAACCTCCTTCCAAATCTCTTAACAGATGCGTGGGCAATCAAACCTCACCCCAAGGGCTTCCCTTCTCTCCTTCCCTAAAGCCAAATGAAGCTAGCTCCCCTCTGTATTGTGACTTCCCTGTGTTGGCCCCTTGGGAATCTTTGGAACTAACAGCTCATTACCCTGCCCTGGCGGTTTTTCTCCCAGCCCTCGATCTGGCCTCTCCCATTATGAGTTGCAGCACTGCTGTCTGTCTCTTAGAGATTAGGAGGGAATGTGAGAGCATCCTTCACTGGAGTTTTTGCATGGTGTTGGTGGTGAGGACCACAGGGACTCTGCAGTGACAGGCAGTATTGACTGTTCCATTCACTGTGCCCAGCAAATGGACACAAGGGTTACTCCTTTTAACCCTCATGGCTACCCTAGGGGAGTGGATGCTACTACTATACTCACTTTAAAGATAAAGGAGATTTCGGGAAAAGGGCATGATTTAGGTCACTTATCTTGTGTCTGAACCACACCTAGTGTTCACCTGACTCTGAAGATGGTGTTCTTAAACCTTCCCTGGGGTTTTCAATATGTCCATGCTAAAGCACGCCCAATGGTTTTACTCTTCCAGACATACCCTTTCCTTTAATTAAATGATGATGATATCTTGAAACCACATCCTATTTTCAGGAAATCTACACCCCTCCCAAAGATTCCTCAAGATCTTAGAGATTCTGGATGCTGGCAGCCGTGACTTTGCAACCCGTAAGCAAACACCCCAAACACCTCTAACACTACTTATCTCCCACTTACAAACAGCTTCCCTCTTCCCTCTCCTCTGATGACTCTCTACAGCCAGAGCTTGGTAAAGGTGGCTTTGCTGAAGGCTTCAAAGGATCAGGAGGAGGTTACTTTGGGGGGGGGTGGTGGGAGGGCTCCCAACAGGCTCTCAGACGTCATTTGCTGTGAAGTCTCCAGATAAGACAACAGTGCCTTGTATCCCAGAGCAGATGCTCAACACTCCTGGTCTCACTATGCAAGAGCGCGTCTCAGCATGGAGGGCAATGCTGGTTATTTACAGCTGGCTTCTGTTCTGATTGGTTAGACGGCCTGCTGGTGTCTTTTCTAATTGGTCAGTTTTTGCTGGTATCTGTTCTATTTACTAGCAACTTCTGCAGTCATTTAATATTTACTCCTGTGTAAAATTTAGCACAAGTTTCCCTAGGACATAAAACCATCAGTAGCTGGTATCAACTGGACAGGGAAGTTTCCAAAAGTAAACACTATCTAATTTTTTGCAAAGTCGTGAATTAACAGTCTTTCCCTTTGTCCCTTATTTCCAAGACAAATGCAGAAATGATCATATATTGATGATAATAATAAAGCTAAATTCTCCTTAAGAGACTGGACAAAAGCAAAAGCTCATATGTAAAGCTTAGTCATACTGTGAGTCTCATGAACTTGAAGACAACCCCATGAACTCACTAGAATGCAGAACTGGGTCTCATCATTTCTTGGATACATTTCCTCTCAAACCTTTCCCTCAACAATGAAATTCTAAAATAACCATGTGATTAGAAGAAGGTTTGCCCACCAATGAGCTTTCTGTTATTTCCTCCTTATTGTGAGTTGAATGACAGAGCAGAGGCAGAGGCATACAGTCAATTCTCAAGTCAAAAAGGTCAAAGCTTCCACAGCATGGCAACAGCTTTGCAGATGCCCACGTCATGATAGTTGAAATGACAAAGCCCAGCAAAGGTTAAAGCTGAGAGTGCCAAAAGGCCTGCCTTGGCAGCTTTCTGCGATGCATCCCCATGAACATAGTCAGTGACAACTTGTCCAAGGCCCCAGTGACTATGAAGAGTGAGGACTGCAGCCAAGGAGTAGTCCATTGCAGAGCAAGGATCCAAATATGCAGCTGGAAGCAGGCCCAGGAGCAAAACATTGACAACCCTCTCACTAGTCCAGTGAAGAGATGCAGCCTTGGAACCAGAATGGCGGTTGGGTGACAGGTGAATGTGCTGTGTGCCAGTCCATCCTGGGGTAGGTCGGTCCTGGAGAAATGCTGAGATGTGAGCAGGTCTGACCAATGGGGTTCGGAGGAACAGAGCTCAGCCTCCTTGAGCACCACAGAGGAGACCCAGCCTCAAGAGAACGGCCATCTTGCTTTTGAGGGCTCAAGGTCTCAACCCTTCTCGTCAATGTGTATAGCAGCTCAATTCACGACAGCCAAGCTATGGAACCAACCTAGGTGCCCTTCAACAGAGGAACGGACAAAGAAAATATGCTATATATACACAATGGAATATTACTCAGAGACAAAGAAGAATGAAATTATGGCATTTGCAGGTAAATGGATGGAACTGGAGAATAGCATGCTAAGTGAAATAAGCCAGTCCCCCAAAAATCAAAAGTCAAATGTTCTCTCTGATATGTGGATGCTGACTCATAACAGGGAGGGTGAGGAGGGAAAGAATAGAAGCCCAAGGGATTAGATAACGAGGAATGAAGGGAAAGAAGGAGGGCAGAGAATAGGAAAGACAGTACAATGAATCAGACAAAACTTTCCTATGTTCATATATCAATAGAGGGCCAATGAAATGCTACACCATGTACAACCACAAGAATGGGAAATTATACTCCATGTATGTATAAGATGTCAAAATACACTCTGCTGTCATGTATATCTGAATATACAATAGCTGGGCGTGGTGGTGCACGCCTGTAATCCCAGCATTTCAGGAGGCTGAGGCAGGAGGATTTCGAGTTCAAAGCCAGCTAAGACAACTTAGCGAGGCCCTAAACAACTCAGTGAGACCCTGTCTCTAAATAAAATACAAAAAAGGGATAGGGATGTGGCTGGTTGCTTAAGTGCCCCTGGGTTCAATACCAGGATGGGAGGAAGAAAGGAAGGAAGGAGAGAACCAATAAAATTGTGTGTGTGTGTGCTTTGGTTTCCTTTCTTCTTTTTTTTTTTTTTTCCAGAATTTGCAAAATAGGACCTTGGACTAGGAAAGGCTAATTTGGTGATTGGCATCTAGAAGCAAGTCAGCTTAGAAAATGCACAGTATCTTGCTGCTGAGACAGACCACCAGCCACAAAACTCAAATCTGGTAGAACTGGACCCTGGACAGCACCATAACAAATAAAAATAAGGGCTAGAGTTGTGGCTCAGAGGTATAGCACTTGCCTAAGCATGTGTGAGGCACTGGGTTTGATCCTCAGCACCACATAAAATAAATAGATTGTGTTCACCTATGACTTAAAAAAAATTAAAAAATAAAAATAAGAATTTAAAAAATTCCTAAACCTTCATGACTGTTTGCTGACAATTATGATTTCACCAGGGCAAAATCCATGTGTCATTATTGCTATAAAAACTCTTAAAAACAGACACTCTTTACTGAAAAACATCTTATTTCTGCCTGCCCCAGTCAGTGAGTTTCATATAAATGAACTTAGAGGGGTCTCTGGAAATAAAGGCAGTCAGCTCCTAGGGAGTTGACTGAATCACTCAAAATTGCTGCTTTAAAACCAAGCTGAACTGGGAACAGTGGCAAACACCTGTCATCCCAGCAAATGGGGAATCAAGACAGGAGGATCACAACTTTAAGGCCAACCAAAATTCATGAGGCCCTAAGCAACTTAGTGAGACCCTGTTTCAAAATGCAAAATAAGAAAGGGCCAGAGATGGATCTCAGTGGTAGAAGCACCGCTGGGCTTAAGCCCAGCACCAAAAACTTTTAAAAAAATAAACAATAACCTCCTAAATTTATCTCAGAGAAAGACCTCAGAGTAGATTTAACCACACAAAAATATATTTTTCTTGAGAAATAATTTAAAGGCTATTGACAAAATATATGTCACAATACATGGCATATAGATCTCCCCATGTCTAACTCGTACTAGGTACTAATATTTGGAGGAGAGACACTATTGAAGCCAGATTTAAAATTAGGTAGTCAGTGTAGTTAGGTAAATCGGGTCTAATATCGAGTGAAATCTAAAATGGAGGCCATGCTGGGAATGATTCTGGGAAACGCAGGACAACTCATGGAATGTTAATGAAGTCCCGGAAAAGCCCTAGGCCCAAAGTCCATCCCAAAGAAATGTTAATGAAGTCCAGGAAACAGCCCCCCAACAGATTTGGAGATAGCCCATCCCAAAGAAATGTCAATGAACAGATTACTTCTTTGGTCCACCTGTGTCCCAACCCTTCCCACCTACATTCCATCACCAAAACTATAAAAAAGGGAAACCACCGCACTTCCACGGATTCCACCTCTTGGGTCCCCTTCTTCCTTTTCTGCTGTCCTTTAATAAACTCCTAATTTTTACTCTGACCTCGCCTCGGCGTGCTTCTCTGGTGTTATTCTTCCACACTGGGGAAGCAAGGACTCGTCACCGGCCAACAGCGGTAACACTATCAACACAGAGACAGCCTTCTATTTAGACTCTTAATTTTAAAACCTGACTATGAAGGTTTAGACATGAGGGGTCCCTGAAAACCTCACGTGTGAAGACAATGCAAGAAAGTGTAGAGGCCAAAGGATTGGGTTGTGGGAGCCTGATCAGTACATTAATCCACTTAAACGGATTAACCCATTTAATTGGCAATTCGGGTGCAGCTGGAGGAGGTCAGTCACGAGGGGCGTCTTTGACTTATTTATTTGGTCCCGGGTCAGCAGAGGTCTTTGTGCCTCCTGATTGTCAGGTCCCTCCTCTTCTGCCATGATGTTCTGCTGGATCTTGGCCCCAGAGCAATGGAACCGGCTGTCTATGGACTGAGACTGAAAGGGTAAAGTTTCTAAGCTGGAAAGCTTGAATGTAAAAGATTAGGTATTATTAAGTTCCTCTGTTACACCCAGATTCCTGAGATAGTTAAGACAACACCCTACTGGCCATTTAGCCTAGGGCCCTGTGCAGTTCGTCACAGGGCCCGAACCAATCAGTTTGAATGTGTAACCCGCTTACGAATGACCAATCACCCCTGCCCGATCTGTTCCCACCAATGAATGTGCCAATCACGTCTCAGAGTTGTTGTTCAATTTCCCTGCGCCTCATGATGATTTGTTCTGATGTATGCAAAGCCCCCCGCCCTCCCCAAAAAATGTACTTAAGCTCTGCTTGACCTTTGCTCTGGGCTCTGGGCTGCTCTCCCTTCTTGAGTAAGCACGGAGCCCCAGCGCGCTGGAATGGATCCCCAATAAATCCCCTTTTGCCAATTGCATGGAGTAAGTCTCTTGTGTGGTCTCTCCCTCTGACGCTCTGCCGGACCCCCCTTACAAGACCTCAGAAACTATGAGCACCAAATAAACTTTTCCTCCTCTCCATGGCTCTGGTCTGGTCTTTTGGTCCCAGCAGCAAAAAAAAGTTGACTAAAGCAAATGTCCAAAGGACATGAATGGACAAAACAGAGGAGTAAATACAAGTGACTCAGCACTTTTGGTAAAAGTATCTGAACTGTTGATAATCAAATACATTTAAATTAAAAAAAATTCTCTGCCTTCACATTTTGTTTTAATTCATGCAAGAAATAAATATGGAGCAGGGGCTTTGTGTAAGACACTCTCTAGACCCTGAAGCTTTATAGCAGTGGGAAAAAAAGATGCACATCCCCCATCTTGGAAATCTCATTTTGACAATAGAACACTAAATATGTAAACTATATAGTATGTTTTAGATGGGCGATGAGAGCTAAAAAGAGAAATAAAGCCAAAGCCAGCAAGCGCTGGGCATTGTGTGTGGGCACTGCTTACACAGGGGCCCTTTACCATTGAGCCACATCCCCAGCCTTTTCTATTTTTTGAGAAAAGGTCTCAGTGAGTTGCTGAAGCTGGTCTTGAACTAGTTATCCTCTGCCTCAGCCTCCATCTTTTAGATGGATGGGCAGGGACGAGCAAGAAGGGAAGCTGGTGAAGGCCAGGGCCAGTGTCTGGGGAAAGAGCGTCTCAGCAGAACTGCCAGCAAGGGCAAAGGACCCAGATGTTGTGTTGGAGGGAAAGCAAAGCACTGAGCGACTGGAACAGAACTAATGAGGCCGAGAAGGGCCGGAGACAAGGTTGCAGAAAAGGGTAGGGCTGGACTGCAGAGGGCTCTGCAGGTCCCTGGAGGCACTTCAGCCCTGACAGGAACCGAATGGGAAGTCAGGTGGAGATGGGAGAGGATGGGTCTAATGTCTTCATTTGCTAGGGCTGCTACAACCAAATGCCATGAGCGGGAGCAAGGCATAAACAGCAGAAATTTATTCCTTAGCGTTCTAAAGACCAAGGTCAAGTTGTTGGATTGAGGCTTTCTTTGCCTCCTAGCTGCTGCGTCTTCACATGGTCCTTCCTCTGTGCACATGAATCCCTGGTGTCTTTTCATTTCTTATTTTTTGTCCTTTCTTTTCTTTTATTTTTTTCACCTTTTATTTTCTCTTCTCTTCCAGTGCTGGGGAGCAAACCCAAGGCCTTGTGTGGGCTAAGCTCCATCCCAGCCCTCTTCCTCTTTTTGTGAGGACACAAGTCCCATCAGAGTAAAACCCCACTGTTATCACCTCATTTGACTTTCAAGGCCCTATATGGTAACATTCTGAGATACTTTGAGTTAGGGCTTTACCATACATGGTTGGGGACATCTGACGAACGATAGATTCTGGGTTTGCAAGGGCAGCTATGGAGAAGCCAGCAACCCTGGGAAGGCATCCCTCAGCAAGGAACTGCAGGAGGCCTCAAGCCAATAACTAGCCGGGAACTCAGGTCCCCAGGTCCAAGAGCCATGAGGACAGTGAGCCTGGAAGTGGATCCTCTCTAGGTTTTCTATGAGACGATGGCCTATTGTGACCACAACCTCATGAGAGGTCTTAAATTCATCAAGGCGAACCATGTCCAGATTCCTAACCAACAGACATTCTAAGAAAATAAATACTAGTTGAAACAAGATGCTAAGTTTTAGGGTAATTCACAACTCAGCAAGAGATAACTAATACACCCCAGCACTTAAAATAGTGTCCTATAGATGCTGGTTGAATAAATGAGTGAATAACAAATACATACGCAGAGAAGAAAAGAAAGGAAATACTCAAAATCATCGATAGTGATCATCTCTGGCAAGATTTGTAAGTTCATGACTGATTATTTTGAAGCGTTCATCACTCCCATACACTGTCCCAACTTTTTAT